AGTGAATCAAAGGATTTCTTTTCAAGCCGTGCCATAATGCAATCCAATGATTCATTTTAGCACATAGGCATTGCGTATTACACTCATTGATGGCTCCTTACACATGAATTGCCCTGTGGATTTGCCTTCTTCCGGCTTTTCCCCACATTTCTCGGCTGTGGTTTGTGTTCGTTATTTCTCTTTTTTTGGCATCGTGTCTATGTCGGTAGTGCGCATAGAATGCATAAAAATGAATGAGATATAAATTCATACCGATTCTTCACTTCTACTTCTTTACTTCTATAATTCACACGCTTTTTCATAGATAGTGAGTGATCAGACAGTAGAATTCAGCGGCTATCACCCATTATTGTGGGAGCTACTCGTGGAAGCAATCGCTAGGAAACGGTGACCATCTCCATCTACCTGCGACTAGAAACGCTGACAGAATTTTTTGCACAAACAAGCGAAAGAATAAAAAGTACAGGCACTGCGGTGAAAGTTCGATAGAAAAGAGAAAATTTTATTGGTCTCTAATCGCAGTGATGTGATTTTTCCTATAAGAAAGGCATCGGAGCGCTCACTGCCACAAAGCAGAACAGCTGCACATCGAGAAGCTTCATGCTACTTCTTTACGAATGAAAGGCAAACATTAAGGGTTTTGTATCGTTGATAGATCCCTCTTGAGGACCGCCCCACAGATTCGACTTCGAGCAAGATCATGAGCCTGAAAAATGAAAAGCCTTGTTGGCTGGGGCGGGGACCGGTCTGAGATTCGCTCCAAGAAATGTCAAAGTTTAAGAGTTTTGAAAAGAGGTTTCTTGTTGACACTGCCATCAGGAAAATGCCTTCATAATTTGCTCTTTGTGGCGATTTCGGAATCAGGGGAAGGAGTCCATTTCCGAAAAGATGCGTCAAGGAGTATATGCTTCAGGGAAGGGAAGTTTTAGAGGCCAAAATGGGATCAAGCGGTTCCCCACTGCTGTTGCAGTTTGCTTCCAGATTTTTTAATCTTAATAGTGATTTTAGCTGAAGCTAACTTGCACATGAAATTAATGAAGTTTTTTATCGCACTGTCATTTCCCATTTATCACTTCGGTATGGTTGGTGAAATTAGTTATGTTTGGGGAATAATAGTTCTATGCTATCAGGAAGAACTACTGTAGCTACTTTGACGTTGGAACTGCTAGTTATGTTGTCCATGATGGCCTTGAGGGGATGATCTCAAGATGACAGAACCTGTTGCGTGCAAGACTCATGTTTCAGTTGATTTCCACTTTCACTTCCATCGCTTGAATGAAATCTCGTGATTATTCTGAGAACTGATCATATTCTAAGCTTTTAAATCTTTTAATCTACCGTACGTAACTCCGGACGCAACGCTCGTTAGCTGCAGTAACCAGGCAAGTGTCATGAAATCTTGGGTAAACAGTTTCGAAACAGTCTGACGAGCTATTACATAATCGACTCTCATAGAGACAGAAACCAACGAGCACTCTATAAATAGTGAACTCCAACATCAACTATAAATTCTATTGGAACTACAGCGGTAGTCAAAGGATTCCGAACTCCACGCTTTCTATTTTCCATCGGTTTCGTACACTTTTACTCTAAGCAGAAACAGTGTCCTAATAATTCACAGGACGAGGTGCATACAAAAAAAGCTCTCCACGATATGCCATGAGACGCAATCTATTTTTATTGTTTTGCAGTGTTTTGCCGTACAGGTTTGTTATGGTAGAAACCGCTTTATTTGGTCGACGTTTCGACTATCTCGTCGTCTTCAAGGACCTGAAAGCAGTTCGGAGCTCCAGATCTGTGGCTTACCCGACCAAGCGCCCAAACGCGCTAGCCCAGTTGCAACAGCTCCCAGAAACTTGAACACTAAAAGATCCCAACCGAGAAACCAACCTTCTGCGGTTCCACCAACGCTGCCGTCCCACTCGATTTGGTGAACAACAAGGGACCAATGAGACACCATTGGCGGTCATTGTATAAGAGCTGCGCGGTGTTCTCAAAGCCCACAGAGAGGAATGAATGGCAGAAATTCGCCTGTTATGGCAATGCACTCATTTCGGTTATTCAGCTCAGGATTTCTCTCGCGAATATGCAACGCTTCCAAAATCTTTCTAGCACCGATCTCGTTCTCGTAGGCTAGGATTTTGCATTTAATATCAAAATCATTGCCTTCGTGTACTTCTAGTCGATGCTTCCCAAGCGGTGTAATAAGGCTTCCACGCCTTTTACCTGCTAGATGTTCTTTGACACGTATGCCTAGCATCCTTCCCGTCTCACCAATATATATTCCGTCACAGGCCGAACACTGAAGTTGGTACACTGTCCCTCGCTGTGTGCAATCACCATCCTTTCCAAACGGACAAATAACGCAGTCATTCGTAGAACATGCACGATCATAAAGTCTATTGCGGATAAGATGACGTTTGATATTGTCCGTTGGTAGGTTTACCAAGACAACATCATTAGCCAGATCCGCTCGAGCAATGCATTGTCGAATTTCTGCGCTGACTTTATCCGATATAAATGGAAGTCGGAGATGCATCACATTCTCACGGTTTCTCGGCGAGTAAGTTTTTAAGCCTGACCTTTTGCGTTGTGTCCCATAGCCATTTGACTTTGCGATCTCACATGCTAGCTTACGTGACTCCTCTCGTTCCACATCGCCTGTGCACATTCCTGTAGCCGTTCTGTACATGTTACGAANAGGCATACGTGTCAAAGAACATCTAGCAGGTAAAAGGCGTGGAAGCCTTATTACACCGCTTGGGAAGCATCGACTAGAAGTACACGAAGGCAATGATTTTGATATTAAATGCAAAATCCTAGCCTACGAGAACGAGATCGGTGCTAGAAAGATTTTGGAAGCGTTGCATATTCGCGAGAGAAATCCTGAGCTGAATAACCGAAATGAGTGCATTGCCATAACAGGCGAATTTCTGCCATTCATTCCTCTCTGTGGGCTTTGAGAACACCGCGCAGCTCTTATACAATGACCGCCAATGGTGTCTCATTGGTCCCTTGTTGTTCACCAAATCGAGTGGGACGGCAGCGTTGGTGGAACCGCAGAAGGTTGGTTTCTCGGTTGGGATCTTTTAGTGTTCAAGTTTCTGGGAGCTGTTGCAACTGGGCTAGCGCGTTTGGGCGCTTGGTCGGGTAAGCCACAGATCTGGAGCTCCGAACTGCTTTCAGGTCCTTGAAGACGACGAGATAGTCGAAACGTCGACCAAATAAAGCGGTTTCTACCATAACAAACCTGTACGGCAAAACACTGCAAAACATTATGCAACATGCCCAGGTTTCAAGAAGACCGAACGTGGAATCTATTTTTATTATTTTTTTTTGCAGCGATCCGATATACCGCAATAGAGATAATCCTTTACAATCAGGACAATCCCACGTATGAGTATCGCGTCACGAGGAATGGATGGTTCTCCTCCAGATCACCAGCTTCACGAAATGGGGGTGATCTGGAGGAGAATCAACCATTTTTCTATGGGTTTGCAGTAATCATCGATATATCGCACCCAAAATCGTAGGGGCGATGGAAAATTGTGTTGTCCTGGATCCAAAGCGGTCAAATTTTAGCACAACGGATGGCCGCAGGCACACCAGTGTCTTCAAATAGTGTAGATGAAATGAAAAATTCAGGTAACTATACTGTAACATTTATTCTAGCACATGGCTAGATTACGACGGAAGCGTACGGTAACGAGTAAGGATGGAATCCAGTCGAAGTGCCCTGAGCTTGTTCTGCTGTTTAGCAAAGGCCACGAAAAAAGCAGGGATGGATCAAGGAAATCAGGAAGTATTTTTCCCAGTTTCTTTGTGGGGTCCGCTCAACTCCAACATTGAGTACCTCAAATTTCGCAAGTGATGTACGTAGGAACTCTCGAAGAGCTAGTTTGAAAAACCCAGTTGAAACTCCCCTTATTTTCCAAACTTACACATATTAACTTTGAAGGAAATTGCCTCCAAGTAGTGGGAAGTAAGTGTTGCTGTTCGGAACCGTAAATGGGCGAGTACTGCTGCTGTGTTCGTATGGAGGGTTTTTAAGAAATGGCAAACAAGTGGTTCCTTATTTGTGTGTTCACGCATATTGCACATGCTTTTACATGACTCTCTACGTCACGCCTGCTCGGAACTATTTCGCTTTCTTGTTATCGTTGACTGTTAGTGTCGTTAACTGTTAGATTGCATGACAGTGGCTGTACGCAATTCAGCCACTTTCTGCCAATGAAACCCATTCTTTTTGACGACTGGGAAACTTATTGCGGTCTTGTCGTCGAGTCTGCGCATGGAGAATCGAACAAAGTCACGTTATTCCGTTCCTGCGCTAAGGTTGAATGAAGTGTAGGTGGAGTGCTCTCTGAAAAAAATTGCTATTCAAGGTGCAACAAATTCGCCCATGAGCACTGGTTCTGATGTAAGAACATAGTTTCCTTTTTGAAGTGGGATCGCTAAAAATTTTGAAAGCGATGAAAGGTCGAACAGCTGAAAGCGAACAATGCTGCCTTGAATATGTTATAATGATTATGTCTATAAACTGCGATCTTTGGACATTTCCTATTCTTTCTTTTCCCTCTTACTGCTTAAGGTATCTCAGGTATTACGAAATAAGAAATGTGAGCAAACATCAGTGTACGGAACACCCGTGTTGCACGTAGCGTCTACTTAAGGAAATTGAGATTTATCGGCTACAATCACAAAGTAGGCCTCAGCATCTATTAAGACTCATGAACTCGTCTAAGAGGAATATCTTAAGAGCTTAAGTGCAATGCTTTTAACTTATTGGCTACTATCCTCTGCGTCATTTATCATTTTTTTCTTGAAAGCCGCTTTCTGAGCGCAACGGCTTGGACATGAGTCTCCAATGTCGCCATGACGACCCAAAGCGCGCTAAGGGATTTTGTCGGGAACCGACGCATATTTGCTTTGTGGTTACCTTTTCAATGCATTGACTGATATCCATGATCAGCACATTATTCTAACACAAAATATTTAGGAATGTTCACCTTCGGTTATTAACTTACCTCAAGGCACCACGGACAGCCATGGCTCCAGTGACCGATTTTAGCACAAATCCTCGCTACTCACAGAAACAAGAAGTGGAGGTTGGTTCTGTGATTTGAGAAAGTTCCTTGTGCTCATAGTTCCCCGTTGATATTTATTTCACAATGATTGTCAAAGCCTATATGGAATAAAATCGATGGCGGTGTCACTCACTTGTTGCTCACTAGTTAATGTTGTTGCTTACTAAAATGTTAGAGCGCAACCCGTTAATTGACCACAAAATTTGAGGAGGCCTTCCAGAAAATTTCAGTCATTACGGAGGCGTCTTCAAGGTGCCACTCAAATTATTCAATAATCTTTTGCAAGGAAACATTCAGCGAGACGGTTAAGACCGAAAATATCCTCTCACATAAGCTGCTTACTTACATTCCCGTGAAAGCGAGCGTCTTTGCCCGAAAACGCAAGGTTCACTTAATTCATTTTTGAGAAGGGGAATTGAAAATCTAAAAGAACAAATCAGGCTATCCGACTGATGTCGCTTTTGAAGGAACAGTTCACGATAATCTTGAGGTATCCCTTTTAAGTCGAAAAACGGGAATATAGCTTGGGAATAGCTCATCGGTAGTGAAGAAAGCGAGAAAATCCGTCGGTTCGATTAATAAAGCTCCTTAAAAGTAAGGGAAATAAAGGTTGGATGGCATACTATGACGGAGATAACATGGAAGGGGTACCCGGACGAGATTTCAGTTGCTGCATTTGCGCAAAGAGCTGACTCAAGCTGAATTTGTCCAAAACTGCCTTCCACCGTTGAAATGGGTCATGACAAGTTGTTTGGACCTCCTTCATGGGTTCCTTGTGAATGGTGCAGCCTCTGAAATGCCGGTGAAACTCGTCCAAGGATACACACAGGACAATTTCTGAGGCTCCATGATGCCATAACCAGGCCGTTTTCTCACCTGATAGCGCCACATATGGTATATGAGGGGGCACAATTATCCCAGGTGGTTATGTCATAAGCCATTTTTATTGTGAACTGTGCTTTCAAGCTTGCCAAAGTACTCGAGAGTACTTGTCGCCACAAAAATGTAATAAGGTCATATCTGTGCCTATCTTTTGAAGGCTAATTGAACAAATCAATGAGTTGTGGATATGACTCGATGGGACAATCTTATAAGGACACAATCTAGGGTCTTGGGGGTGATGAACTACATAACGGCGAGTCCCCATCCAAGTAAAGCATGCCTCATTACTGCCATAAGTACTAGCAAACGTTCCCAAAGGAGAAGAAATCCAGCAGTTATTTTTCACACCGATGGTTTTTGCCAGCCCATTCAGTGAAAATACAGGAACGGCTCTGAAGAAAAACCGCCACAATCGAGCATTAGTGATGGAGGTGTCATCGTAATATAGCTGTTACAAAATATCAGGAACTGTTTCTCAGTCAATAATTGATCTTACAAAGTGCTAATAGTGATACAGATACATACAGACTCGATTGCTGCCTTTTCGCTTCAGATGAACGTCCAGTTCGTCGTCCCCATTCCCCAATTTGTATGCGTTTAGTTTCTATGCGTTTAGCCTTAATCGATAATTATGCTTAAACACAATTCCAGAAGCTGTGATATGTTTCGAGATATGTTGTTCCGACTTTTAAAGTCGGAACAACATATTAGAGCTTTCGTACTTGATGTTCAATAGCAATGGGGAGAGGGTTCACTGCCGGTGAAGGAGCCTGTCTCGATTTCCACATTAGGAGAAATGATTTCCCAGCCGCTTGTTCATATCCCCTTCGAAGAAATCGTCGACCGTTGTAGTCGGCCTGTAGCATTCGCGCCGTTTCGCTTTGCACAGTATTTTGCAACATTCCACACTTCTTCTTCTACAATACACTCCTCTCAAGCAAATAAAGTCATTTTTCAGAAAGTATCACACTCCTTAACCCCTCTGCTAAATTCATGCATATCTATCTCGCTGATTTGTTTCAGAATTCCAATGAAACACGACAAGGGAAAGGACACAAAATTATCATAAATCAGTCCAAGAAGGAGCTTTTCAATATCAATTCTGGGTTGAGAGGAATTCATCGGCGACTGAAAAATGCGTGGACTGTAGAGACGTCAGTTTACCATGATTATTTGCCATTTTTCTGCGCGAATTCTTCTCATTTGCTTTAGCTCCAACATAGTGTGGTGATGATTGCAGTAGAACGTCGCCTTTTTAGGAATCCCGACGAGATCACAGATGGCATGTTCGAAGGAGTTCGCGCTTTCATACTTCCACATCCAAGGGCTAAATTCAACGTTTCTGAGGTAATGTCTTCAGTTTCTTGAGTTAAAATCTTCGGCTATGGAGTTCGTGTTCTTGGGTACAACACTTAAATAGATTGATGTTATTTTCAATTGGGCGATGGGAATTGGGTGTAAAGGGTAAGGCTGTCAAGATCTCGCCCTTATTATCCATATTCTTCTGAAACAAACCTGTCAGTCTTTTTTTCTATCAAACATGATGTGTAATATGGGTGAAGGGCCCTTTCAAGTGCTACAGTACTCGTCGTAAAAGCTCAGAATTCAAGCGAACTTCAGGTCTTCAAGTCTTTTTGGTGTTTTCTCTCTAAGTCGGTTATTTAGAGTATGTTAGGGGCTGAAGATACCGTTTGACTCAGCTCGTCAAGCTCTATAAGCAGATACCCTGAAATGTTGAAAATGCTTCGTCTCAGATTGCGCCACGCACTTGAGTTCCATCCGAAAAGTAGTTTCATGAACATAGGGTGCGCATTCTGGTGCTAATTTGAGCTGATTTTTCTGTGCGTGTAAAGTGTTCAGAATTCGCTGTAGAGTGCGCCACGTACTCGACTTTACTCAGCACATGTGAAAATGATTGATTGGTTTTGTTCAGTCTCCATCGTTCATTTCTACTGTGGAGACGGTAGATTAGTGCATCTACAGTCTCTACTGTCGACACTCCTCAAATTTTGTATTTATAATATGACATCAATTTCCGGCAAAATGAATGAATCTATTTGTCGACATACTCCAATATCTGGAGGCATTTTTGTCAAGATCTGGGGTGGTGGCGTTAGAGGCACTCTATTATCCCAGACAACTCTTCGCTCTTTGCAAGATTATTATGGTACACCTCGTCAAAGATCAAAGCTTCCCCCTAGGTATGGCCCTAAACTTAACCTTCGTCACGCTCGAATCATAAAATTGAGCTTTTTCCTTTCCATTTACCTCTTTGCAACTAAAGTGTACACGGTTAGAACTTTTGTGAAGAATGCTGTATAACGACATATGAGCCAACCGTGATGAAAATCTGACTTTAAAACCATTTGTTGCCGTATGCTTGTCGCTGGTAGACTTTTCGCAGAGGAAGCCTGTGTGAGGAAGCTGTCACCATTCGAGATGCCACATCTACGACTTATATATATATATATATATATATATATATATATATAATATTATATGTATAATATATAATATATGTATATTTGTGCTCTACTAGGCAAACACAATTCGAACGGTATAGAAATCACTCCGCCAGTGAAGACACAATTTACTCCCATTTTTTTCCATTTTATCGTCCAAACACGTGTGATTATAACAAATAAATAAGTCCACGGGATAGTAACAAGTAACAATGGCCCAGTAATAGCCGTCCCTGTGTATTTCGTTAAGTGATCAGTGACCCCTTTCAGTGGAAGATCATCTATAATTCTCTCCTTTCGAGAGAGCTGTCTGTTATGTTTGATGATCCATGGATGTTAAGATGGAGGCAATTGGACGATTCATCACAAACGGTGGAGCCGTGTTAGTACTGCTGTCGGAAGGAGGAGAACAACAACACGATACCAACATCAATTTTCTTCTTGAAGAATTCGGCATTGTTGGCAACAGTGGTTGGTAATACATATGTCAATATTACTGTACTTTTTCTACAATAATGTAATGATCCTTTGCCACTAATCAATGCGAGCTATAGGTGGGACGTTACCGCAAAGTACCCCAGCTCTGAATTTTTTTTCAGCTGAAATCGACTCTCTAGCTGTTTAGTAAACTTGCATAATAACGTGATGGTGGCACATAGCTCCTTCGAATGAACGAAATGAGTTATCAAAAGCATGGGATATTGCCCCTAGGAGGGGAATGGCTGATGTTTTACTGGATGTGGAGATGAGAGTAATCAATGGCAGGCGGATTATTTTCAATCTGTTTGGCTACCTCACGTTACATCGTGTCTAACAGCAGCATCGCGATTGTCTTACTGTACGTAACGCGCTAATTGTGCAGGGCTAGACTCTGCCCACAGAGGGGTCGGGGAGCGTTAATTTTCAAACTAGAGCGTCCGAATTCGATAGAAGTACAGGTGGCAGTATAGGAAAGCTGAGGGTAGGTGGCACGACTAACAACGTCTTTTGAATGAAATTGTGAACAAATTGTCGTCTCGAATGATGTGTACATTCTAGTTGACCAGTGATTTGCAGACGCCGTGATTCGGAGTATTTTTTACAAATACTTTGATCCGAAAGAAGCCCTCATTTCAAATGGAGTATTGAACAGAAGTATAGCGATAGCGGCTAAAAAGAAAGTGTCAAATGATCAGCAATCTAACTCCCAGTACGTCCATTTCATTTTTTCCACTCTTGCCTCTATTCGCAGTTGAGCATTTTTAAGAACTATCTCATTTGTGTATCCATTTGGTGCATCGCTATCGGTCAACCGTCTCGCTACTCCCGTACTCTCAACGGGCAGTGCTTGCTTTCCAATAGGAAGGCCAGTAGCAGCCTTTCACGAAACCGAGGTAAACCAGGAACTTTTTTCGAGCGCAGGGGCAAATATTCTGTTGACGACTATCCCACTGTTCACCTTTTACACAGGGCGCAAACGGAAGACTTGTAGTATGCGGTTCTGTTCACATGTTCTGCGATCAGTACATTGACAAAGAGGAGAACAGCAAGCTATTCGTGAGTGTTTTCCCTACGTTTCGTTAGAGAATGTGTCACATGTATTGGGTGTTTGAAGAAGATCTACCCATTTCTTGTCTTTATTCCAAAAACTCTTGTTTTCATCGGAATAGGATCTCAGTCCGTGATATAGTCTGCCATCGTGGTTCATAGCATATGGTCAATTATTCGGCACTTTTCCAACTCCTGAAGCCAGGAACTGTGGTAGCCCGGAAAGCCCGGAAATCCCAGTTCGTACTGAGGGTGGTCAGCCGAAGTAGAAGTCAGTGCTTTTATCGTCTCAGACGGGTCTGGTCCAAGCCGAACCCGGATGGACGGAAAGTCGGGTTAGCAAAGGTGAATAGGTATTCGATATCCGGTATTCGAACCAGTGATTATACGTGTGTGATAGTGCACCACTTGCCACAGCACCACCGCTGTTCTCAATACATGTTTTTGAATGAAATAATTACGATGTACTATCCATTTAGAGATTTATTTGGATTTATGGCAAAAGTAAGTTTAAACGAGTCAGGAGTAGCGTGTTCCTTATCAGCGAATACAATTATGTGCACTGAACTCCTAAGAACAAAAATTAGAACAAAAGAACTTACACAGTACTTCTCATTCGCTTTTTTGTCAATCGGCTTTTAACGGCAGAGTAGACATGATTATTTCGCTGTTTCTCGATATCAACTAACATACTTTAAGCCAAGTTAAATCTCTTTGAACCTATCAACTTTGAACTACTTTTTGCTAATACAAGTAAATTTTCCGTCGCCCCCACAGATAGAATAGATGTGTACATAGAACCGTCTGCTCCAGGTACTTAAGATAAGTTTTAAAAAACCAGCAGCTCTAGGCACTTCCAAAAGAGGCCGGTCGAATGACTCGCATGCTGTAGCGCCTTTGCGTGAAGTAAGTAAAAAGTAGTACCCTTGTTATAGGTAGAAGTGAAGTTGTACAATTCCAGCTGTCATTTTTGTGCAAAAATACTATAGAAGCAATATTTGAGCACTTCATGTACAGATATTGCAATCCTACACGAAGTTTTTGATACAGAAAAGCTTCTGACAGTGTGAGCAATGTATAAAAAATATTATAGTTCACCCCACCATCACTATCACAACGTCTAGATGGGATGAGAAACAATATTGTACAGGTGTTTCAAATTCCCCCTTATCCAATCTAGGTACCCTGCTGCAAACCATAAATGGAAAAGGAATTTTCTGAATCTAGCTGCGCTAAACAAGATACTAGCGAGATAAGGCAAACTATCGAGTTGCGATTACTAACGTGGAAGTCCAGACCATGAGCAACTACGAAAGAGACAATATGCTTGTACATGTCTTTGAATTCTAAGAAAAAACATCCATCGAGAGGCTGGATTTGAGAAGTTGCGTCAGATGGAATGTTGAATACTTCCCAACTGCGTCGTCGCTGCACCGCTTGACTCTCGTATAAAAGCAACAAAGGACATGATGCTTGTGGGAACTGGGCCCTAATTTTGTTTACAAAATCGTTCCTCAGATTTGGAACCCAGATATTAGATCAGCGTTCGGAGGCACTTACATTGGTATACATTTCATCTTAAATGGCCATTGCGACCTAGTATCTCCTCTTATAACTATTATACATATGATCTGGGACAACAAGTCATTATTTTGGTACATCAACTCACTACCGGCAGTCAAATTACTTTTTCAATTCCACCGCGGTCATGGCTGATCGACTGCTGCCTCTTTGAGGTTTTGCTTTGATAATAACATGACCGGAGCTTGTATCTCAGTCAAACAAGGAGTTTGACGAGTGGTTGGCGTTTCGTGGACTACTGTGGAAGAAACGACCCTACTCGAACTGTAGAAATCCATGCTGGCCAGGGAAGCAAGGGAAGAAGGAGGAGGATGAAAGTTTGAGCGCTGCAGACGACCATGTCGTCAGGCAGGGATTTCCCAAAACGTCGGGTACTTGGAGGATACCTTCTTCGAAAGACTGTTTATCGATAACAAGAAAATCTTCCTGGTGAGCTACTACTTCGCCTACGATCTTGGAAGTCTGAGCAATATGTCGCGGACGTTGGAGGTGAAAGAATAACATCATTCAGTGAACGCAGTGGTTCATTGACGTGCTGGTTGATAATTGCACCTACAAAGTGAAAAATAGGATTATCCAATACAAAAGTGCAGGTGGAGGTGACATGTATCGTTCGGCGGAAGTATAGCGTGGGTCGCAACATCCGCAAACACTGGTTTGTCGGAAGGATACAGGATGGGACCAAATTTGTGTCTGTAGAGATTACGGACGATCGTAGCTCTGCAACAGTGGGTGCTATAATCCAGAAGTACGTCCTACCCAGAGGGTTCATCCCCACATAGAAATTGAAAGATGACAACAACGTGACCAACTTAGATTGCCAGCATGAAACGGTCAGCTACAAAAATTTTGTGGGCCCTATGACAGGAGCGCATACACTGCGCATAAAAACGTCTGTGGCATTTCAAAGCAAAAATTCGTTCGCGCCATGGGTTGAAAGGGGGCCTCTGAGATGACCACTCCTTCGGATTCCTGTGGAAATGGCAGTTCAATAGAGAAGATCTTCTGATTTACGAGCTCTGGAGGCTGATCGCCGCGAACGACAAAATTCCCATGTGAGTTGAATTGCATTAAGATCTACTCTTTTTCATTTCACCTCCTACCAGAGAAATGCAAACTTTCACCTATGCTTCAGGAGGTATTGGGGCACAAACTTGGAGTAGAGTACCTTAGTAGGGTCGGACAATCCTACTAACCGACTTTACTTCGAATTTGACCCCCAATGATGAACGCTGCAGTCGTTCAAATTGCACCGAATTTCGCCGCGCAATTTGCCGCGCACACCCAGAATCGCACGAATCGACGCACACGCGAGCACCACAAGCAGAGGGCGAGACATGCACCGGAGTGTGCGGTGCATGAGCAGAACTTCCCAATACGGCTTAATTGTCGACAGGAAAAATGAGCAAAGGTAAGGTGTGAGTCAACAACAAATGAAGTGAGGAATTTATCGGTAGGCGGAGCATCCTCGCAGCGAGCGGTACTCTTAATGAGTTCATACGAAAAGCTCAATTAAGCGAATGGTCGAAAGTCAGAAAGATCGAAGAGGTGAGCAAGGACTAACATGTCCCGGCTATGAGTATACTTGGGAGAGTCTCGTATGTTGGTCTCCGTCCATTTCGGAATCCGTCTACGGTCGCCTGAACAAGCACCTCTAGAAGCTGGATCATTCTCGGAGGTATGGGACATAGTGCAAAATGAAAAGAAATTACGTGAACTCAGCAAAATGTAGCTGGCAGAACCCCTGGATAATTGATTTCAAAACCTTTCAGACATTGGGAAAAAAGAGAAGTGAGGAGTGGGTTAACAAATGAAGCGAAGAAGAAAATCTCGCCGTAGGCAGAGCATCCTCTGAGAGGGCTGCACGTTCCTTAGCAATCCATTGTTCCTTTTCTCTGGAGCCACCACAGAGCCTCACCACATTCACGAACGGTGGAAATGTAATCGAAAAATTTATCACGGTTCAAGACATTCTTTGCTATGATACGGGCTTTAGTGCGTGTAGCTCAAAGGATGGTATGAGATGCATCCAGTGAAAAGGGAAAAAACATAAAAAAATATTAAGTGGCTATTAAACAGATTATTCACAAGTGAGGCAGTGGTAGGCAACAAGAAGGCTCACTTCAGCACTCTGTTTGCATCCCTTGACAGAAATATCTAGTTCAAAGGAAACTTAAGCCTGCTCATCACGCTTATGTGTACAGTTAAGGTTTGTCTAAAAATGAGAGAGTTTAGTTCCTTTGCGAAGGACTGGGGGACTGAGAACACGTGCCAAAATCAGAAGTCGATGTTTTCGTTTTCAGGATGCCATTATGGAATATCTCATTGATGGTTACGAACTGAACAAAATTGATGCCACAGAACCGGAACTGTCGGATTACGTCCAAATTCCTGATCACGTCCGTCTATCAGAAGAACTAAAGGTTTGCATTTCAAAATCGTAACTCATGCTCTCCAAGACCATCTTGACCTTCACATTTTGTCAGGAGCTTGTTCCATTTTGAGGAAAATATTATTCATAAGTGCTTCAGATGCTTGACATTGGTTGAGAATCGATGTCAGATAGCAATCTAATAGGTTTTGATGCTCATGACATCGTATCAATGATGACATGTTATCATCTAACATATTTGACAGCACTACAGCTGCAGCGGTCGCATGCTATTTATGTTTGTTTCTGTTTTTGTATTCCACGACACCATTGCTCTCGCTCTCCCTTCTTGCCAACACCAATTTTCCTCTGCTTTCTGTTATGCATCATCATAACACAAAATAGAGAAAACAGATCATGACGACATTTTATAGGGATTAAAATTTTTATAAAATCATCCTCATAGTCTTTAAAATCAGGTAATATAAAGAGGATTACAAATCCTATGATACATATACCATATGTAAGGTATCTTACTACTACACATCGGCTGTTAGCATTCTTGTTCGTGCACAATACATGACACAGTACTGAACATCGACATTGTCTGATGCTGGAAGACACAGTATTTGTCCTATCACCCATGTCACCTGTCGTCCCGCTGATTATCGATTTCCTCGAGCAGGCGCCGGTTATGTTTCCACTCGCCCCTTTCACGAGCTAGAGTGATCCAGTGAATCGTTCTCGCTTCAGAAACACGAGGCCCAGCATTCCTTCCGTCCAGAGCTTTTGTGAAGAAGTCTGACCATCTCGTTGGCGGCCGTCTGATACCCGCTTGACGTCCCGAGGAATCAAGTAAGTAATTGCCCTTGCCAATGGTCACCACGATATCGCATTATGTGTGAAGCCCACCTGATCGTCGGTTTTTCGGCGTATGCATTGGGTCCCGATCTTCGTTCGTTGACGAAGCTCAGGCGGAGATTCCCTTTTGCACTTGCGTGCATAAGGGAATTCCGAGCACCGTTCCGTTGAGTAACGCTGACAGCATGTTCATCCTGCTTTTGTATAGTCCAAGTATTTGAGGAAGTCCAAGTATTTGAGGAAACGAAGAACAACCGGCTCCGTGCTCACTTTTCCGAACAGGACGGAAAAGTGAGCACGGAGCCGGTTGTTCTTCGTTTCCTTCACTATCCACTTGGTGTTCTTGAATGCTCCCTGCGCAGCGCGTTCCCTTCTCCTTCTGCCGAAGCTAGGTCTTTCATCATGTTGATTACTATTGATCTATTCAGATACACGTGGATGAGCACTTGGAGATATTTGTTCAGTTTGACGTAAAGGGAGCATCAGCTACCAAACCTTCTCTCTTCAACATCATCTTCGTTAAGCGTAGTTTCAAGCCCATCTTTTCCACAAGCTCTGTCGAGTTGGACCAGCACTCATTCGCTTGCTCGATCCTCGGTGTCAAAAGCTTAATATCGTCAATCCTTACGTATTGAGTAGGAACATTTTGTTCGACCAGGGCTTCCATTACTGCTTCTGCTTTGACAATATCAAGAACCTTTCTCAAAGGCAGACATAACCGCATCCTGTACTCTCGTGATACTCAACAAGAACCTTCTTCAAACCGATGAACAGTAGTGATGGGATCGATTGTACTGAAATCGTTTCAAAGCCTGCTTGTTTGCATTGCTGTCCCTCACCTAATATTCTGCCAATCTTTTTCAGATGACCCGTGTGAAAAGCTCGCAGATTAGAGAGGGCGGGCAGATTGGGCGAAGCAACACAGATGTGCTAGTTCTTCACGACGTGAGCACCTTGTATTACGACAAGTACCGCGTGAAGAGCCTAGTCAGAGTTCTAACGACAACTGGTGGAAAGTTCTTCAGATGTTCACGTTTAACGCTATCAAAGTCGGCTGTTGCAAATTTCCATCGACGTAATACGGAAGACTTCTCCGCTAGTCCTTTATTCGTCGACAGTGGGGCACAATGGAGACGTTCCGATTTACCCCCTGCCCCCTCTGCAGGAGCAGCGGTTTTTGTACATACAGGATTCTAGCTCTCACAACGTTCCTAGGCGAATACAATAAGATAACAGAAGACAACAGTATTGAACATAAACATTTGCCAGAGCTTGAGATAATTCAAACGAGTGGCTCATTAACAGATAAACAGATAACGTTTAACATACATTCAAGAATAACTGGGAATAGAGGATTGGGAAATCCTCTTTACTATCCCCCCGGCGACCTGAGCCAGGGCTATATGACCTGCGGGTAGAGCCTCGGTGCGATGGGGTATGATGGCGACCTCTTTCCGGTAACCCCTTCTGGCTGCCATGGCGCGGCGATGTTGACCTTTGATATCGATGGCTGGACGGCGCTATAAAGGTTCTGCTCGACGTCTGCTGTATCGTGGTGTCTTTTCCTCCCTTCTTTCTAGTCTACTCGTATAGGAGACATCTTCCTAGAAGACATCTTCGGATCATCCTTTTTCTTTTGAGTACCATTTCTTCATCTGAGAGCTCGTACTTCTAATCTAATCTAACTTTCCTTCATCGCGTGGATCTTAGACTCGTTTTTGTGGTCTTCTCTTCTTAACCCTTCTGTTTTATGGCCGAGAGCGAAAATCTCATGCTCGGTTCCTACCTTCACCTTCGATTGTCCACCTTCGCCATCGATTCCAGGATCCTTTGTCTTCTCGCTTCTCCTTGATCTCGCCTGCCTTAGATTCTTCTTGCTAAGCTCTCTGGATCTTTTCTCCTTCTCTTCTTCCGGTTCAAGGCTAAGGTCGTTGTTCATGCGAAGAATATCTTCGAATCGGGTTGATTCAACATTCCCCTGCCTCCTTACATCTTCTTTAGCTGATCCTGAGTCGCGTTCGTCCGCAATTCTTCAACTGCAAATCGATCCTTCGAGGCATAGACGCGATATCTGGCATTTGATCTAGCTTCTTCTTCAATGCCTTGAATCGTTCGTTGACCTCGTTTTGGAAGGCGGCTAGACGTGTCGACACTTCTCTGACTTCGTGCATCACGGCATTGTTGCGGCCCCTTTCAACTTCGGTTCTGCACCGGTCTACCTCTTTGAACATTTCATCCATTTCCATGAAAATACGGTTCTTCGCGTTATCCATTTGTTCTTCGAGGCTGGACTGCATCTCGATTAAACTCGTCAGGACTCGCTTCAGCAGTTCGTCCACGTGCTCTGGTTCGATGACTAGCTTCGTCGGGGCTACAGTCTGTTTGGCAAATTCGTGGTGATCCGCTAGGCTCTTCTCAATCTTTGCCATACGAGTGTATCCCAGCCTTCTGCAGGTGGTTGTCTGGAGTGCTCGCTTCTTGTCTTTCCAACGCAGGAATCTTCTTCTGGGTGCTTTTGAAGGCTTCAGTTCCTCGCATGCAGAAGTCCCTCCAGAGATCGTAGCTGGAAGGGTCCTCCGTCTTCACAAGTTCGTTTCGCTGCTGAAGTCGACTCAATAGACTTGTTGCTGCGCTTCTTCGGTTTTACTTTTTCTTCTTGATTCTTTGCTGCCATTTTCTTTTGAACCTCTCCCGTCCTCGTGTTGGAAGCCGATTCTTCTTCTGACGGGATGTGCTGATGGCGGAAGACGATCACGAGAGCTGACTGAGAGCTCAGTCCTGTGCATCGTGCTTTTATACGGAACTCTTACAGGTGACGTCAAGCTGAAATGGTGTCGTAGATAGTGTGAAGCTGCGATGGAGCCGGTGATATAAAATATCATGAGATCTGAGAGGCTGTCTTTCCCTTGGTCTTTCTCTCCATTGTTTCTTCGTTGCGATGCCTTGGCTCAATGCTAAGTTTGATTTTATGTGAGTCATCATTTGTCGTACGTTTGAATCTCAGAAACACAGGACTAGTATGGTTTGAATCAAAGCTGTTTTATATGAGCGTTCTGATTTCGACAGTATTTTTGTCGCCGTCGTAGTGCTTTAATTATAAGAAGCGTAAACCTTAGCATCATCCGCGTACACTGGAACCTTGACATCAGGGGACGTTCTAATAAAAGATGGGAGATCCATCGTATAGATGAGAAACATCAACGGTGATAAGACCGCCCCTTGAAGTACGCCGCTACGGCACCAGTATTTTTCTAAGAAATGGTGCCCAACCCTGACTGTCATATGTCGCTGGCACAGGTAGGACTCAAAACTTTTCAAAAGCGACTCGCTGATAGCCAGAAATTTCAACTTCAGGAGCAACTTCGAATGACAGACTCTATTGCACGCCTTAGACTGGTCTATGTGCACAACGTCAATAGCTTCGCCTTTGTTTCGGGCCAGAGACCAGTCAAAGATGCTGTCTAGAAGGTTAGGGAAGGTTGAAGCTCCTTTGAGGAACCCATGTTGCTCAGTTGGGATGACTTTGAATCTTTGTAGCCAAGCTACGAGCTTAACTCTAAGAATGCCTCACAATTACGCGGGAACTGGGGCTAGAATTTGTGATACTATATAAGGCCTCACAGCGGTCTTGATGAAGTCGTAGCCCAGCTGACCGTGGTCCCATTATTGGTTGTTGGGTCATCAAAAGGGTTACAGTGAGTGACTCCCTTGCAGATTACGTGCGTGCCTAGAGAGATCTCGAACTTCAGTAGAGCACGGAGGCATTTGCTCGGATATGCGGAAGTTGTTTTGATCTTTTCAGGCTCTGATTAAGCAATAATGCCGAATTGTTGGTCAATGAGGTTTAATAACAAGCTACAGTTCAACACAAGACCATAGCAAGCTACAATTATGCCGTGGTTTATGGAAGAATGTACATAAGTGGATACTACTTTGCAATGTGTCAACTCAATATCAAGGCCTCTTGAAGGACATTCTATCGGTGAAGCAAAAGATTGTCTTAGCGCGGCAAAGCATTCACTTCATCTGCAGCTCTCTGAATCACTGCGTGGTTTCGGAGTTTATTTCGAGAAAGAAGCTGGGTGATCTCCTCAGAGGCCCGCAGTGTGACTCTAAAGTTTTGGACATCGAGGTGGAGTTACTTCGAACGGCACTACAAGCAAAACGTGATACCATACTTCTGTAATGTTAAAGTGCGTATGAAAGATGAAGGTTGTGCTCGGTGCATGGAATCATCTTCGGAGGAGGATAGTGGATGGATCAACATCAATTCCTGAAATTATTCCATTTCAGGTTGAAGCTACCTTACAGAAGATTTCGATGACCTGTTCAGTTCAACATGTAATCCTTAATAGGGGTCATCATGCACCCTGACTAAGCGGACTTTCGAAAATCATGAAGCCGACATGATCATTCAAGTGAGCCTCTCCAAATTCTGAGAGGCTTTGCTTATCTGGCTTCGCACTTTCGGTTTTGGAATTGGGCCCACGTAAACACTCCAGCTCCTATCAACAGTCCTTTTCGATTAATAAATGGAAGTTCATCAGAGCGTTTGAAGCGCAAATCGCAGACACTATCTCGCCGTCAAGTGTATTCTCCCTCAACTTGTGTGACATCCGAACTTCTAGCTATAAATTGGGTGAAGTTCACCATTTACTGTATTATTATCAATCATTAGATGTAAATCTTACTACCAGGTGTTACGAATTCAGTGAGTGTCGCCTTCTGAAGTCACACACCTTTTATCAGCGCTCATCCCTTGACATCATTTTCTGTCCCTAGTCGCTTGTGATCTCACGTTCACACCGCATTCATCAGGCATGCTGCTAAACGTTGAAAGTGAAGGGTATGGCGATATCAATGGTTCCGCATAAAAACTGGATCGTAGTTGTTTGCAATGACAGTACCAGCTCCCCTGAATCTTTCTCGAATACTTTTGGACTAAACTTTTAATGTTGTAGTGGACCTATAGAGTAATCTAATAGTCGGATTCAGATTATATTCATCGTACTCATAATCCATAATCATAGGTTATTATACTCAGAAACCGGAAATACATATATATATATTCAAATATCCACCAATGAAAGGAGAATAGGAAAAAAAGCAAGAATTCAACATAGACCCTCTTAAGATGTATTTCTTCCGAATTACGTTTTGTTTCTCTTTATTGAAAATCCATTCGGTTTTTTGAGGTTTCATTTAGCTTCAGTTTCTGAACGGGTTTCAAAAAAACCTTACCGCTAGGTGAGCTCTTCGTAATCAAGCTGTGATTGGAAATCTGAGAACATGTGGTATTCAACAATAAACGAAACCATATCGGACTCCAACACTCAACGGCTCCTCCCTTATTGCCAATTATGTTACTAATTATGGATATTTCCTTCGAAGAAATTGCTAAAGCTGAAAGAAAATCCTGAACTGATGGTGTCCCACCTTCAAGCAACTCGCTACACCATTTCTTCGTTTTACTATCAGAATGCAATAGAGACGGTGAAATTATGATTCCGTGTACTTACTCTCATGTTATTCATTCCTATAGATTCAAGGTACTGGGCAATAGTAGGTTCCGTCACAAAAGTGGGGAAGCCTACAGATCGGATGCTCTTTCCGAGAAGATTCTTGTCTGCCAACCGATTCAAGTTCCTGTCTGTTCTGTTCATATCTTCCTGACATAAGTTAGGGTTTCCGGATTCTCCTTTCTGCGATAACCTCATGTACATAACCATTCCCAAGCATTTCCAGCCCACTTCGTGCAGCGTAATAGGAAATAAGGTAGGAAGCGGGCGATATTTTAGTTGCTTTCACGTTTGGCTTTTATTCGACAGACCTGCTGAAACCGGAAGCTATTCGTATTTTGTTTACTCGTCGTGACGTCGTTTTTCTCAATCTTTCTTGAGCTTCAGCAATTTCTCTATAATAATCATACTCAGATGCCAACAAAGTTACAAAAGGTTGCCAGATCGACGATAAAATATTCTCTGAAGGCACGATTGGCGATAAAATTGAGATACATTCAACCGTGTGATGAACCGCCGAACCCCAAGTAAAGCACAAGGTACCCTGTCGGCTCGAAAAATAATCTACATCAGACGTAGTAAGAACTTCAAAACCGGCTAAACCGACGTAGGCAGGCAAGACGGACGGGTTATCCTGATATGTAAAGGCTGTAGAGGTTGAACCATTCGCATTACGACGCACGCGTTGCACGCAGACAGCTTACTTAAGTCGAAAGAAAGGGCGCACTAAAATGGGTCAACCCCTGAAAATACCTCTTCCATGCGACTCTTGTCACCACAGTCTCGTCCAACCCCTAACTTCACTACTTTTTGGAGCCTTAAGTTTCTCTAAATATGCCGATGTTCACGTTTTCTTCGTTACTTTCACATTGTTCAGGACTAACGCTTCCACTAGTCATCTAAAAATAAATTCCTCGTGATTATCGTGAACTGCGCCTTTAAGCTATTACATTTTTTGCTACAATTGAAAGCATAGTTCACGATAATTTTGTGTAACCCTGATTATGACGAAAAATGGAAGACAAGATGGAAAATAGTGCGACTAAAGCAAAGAAACTGCGTGAGTCGGTGTTTCCAGAGTGGAAGAAGGCTCGTTAAGAAGGGGGCTGAACGAAAATTAGAGCAGAAAAATGGAGAAGAGTGTGGCGTTTGAACGAGCTATATCATGCGTGTCATTGCGTACGTGTGACTCCTGGTGTGAGCTAGAAAATTAAAGGATCGCAGAAGCAAAAGGAATAAGAGAGTATAAAAGGATGGGAAAAACATCGCCTCATCACTCGGCAATCAGCTGATTGTGTGTGGATCCCGGAAAGAATATTGCAAACTGTATCGCCTCGACACTCGTCTGACGTGACATCGATCGAGGGCGGGAAGTCCGGGCGATCCGGTAACGGGGACTGCCACTATGCCCTAGCTGTTGAGTTTCGGGACTCGACAGCGTCCTTCCTATTACCCTTAGGGGTCACTGAGTATTCCTTAGGGGATAACTCGAAAACCATTTTTGTCGGGAACTGTGTGTTTAACCACGTTTTTAGATGTATCCAATGTGATAAAAGGCTTTGAAAAAATCGTGAAAAAGAGGATGGGAGAAAATAAGAACAGAAGAATGAAGAAGAACGAGTGTTCGGACGAGTTATACGATGTGTGTCTTTGCGTGCGTGTGGGTCTTGGTGCAAATAGCTGACAGTAAGCAAAAATGCCCTTCAAAATTTATTCACTTAGCTGAGCATAAGTAAACAAAAACACTAGTAACAACATAAATAGCCTACCTTTTCCAGCCTCTTGAGGTAGAAAATTAGATAAACGACTGCTGCAGAATGCAAGAGAATAATAGAATAAAAAAAACGGCGCTATGCACCCTTTACTGCCCCACTTTGTCGAGAATAGGCTGGATTTCTATCGAATTCTTCTCAAGAAGATGAAACCGACTAGAAACTCGTCTAGACGGGTAATTCGACCCCTAGAACACGAATATGATAAATAACTATGATATCCATGTTCTAACACACTCCTTATTGGCAAGTTTTCAGCAAGATTCGCCCACCCACCTCCATTTGGCGCTGGCGCCTGTGGCGCGAACGCTAGGCTTCTTTATGAAGAATGGGTGCGATATTCGTGCTCTACATGTCAAATACCCCTCTAGGCAAACTTCTTGTCGGTTTCATCTTCTTGAAAAAAAATTCAATAGAAATCCAGCCCATTCTCGACAAAGTGGGGCAGTGATGGGTGAATAATGCCAAAAAACATTGCCTCATCACTTCATCAGCTGATTGCGTGCTGAATGTGGGGTCTTAGCGCGAATGTTGCAATCTGTACGCCTCGACACTCGTTTGGCACATCATCGGTCCATAGGCATGGCATTCGAGTGATTCAGTAAACTAACTAACTTGACCTGGGAGTATATGTTTGGGTATGCTTCAGTGGTTCTCTTCAGCTCGCTTTGGCACTCACTCAGGATATAACATCAAAATCAAGGGTGAAGGGTAAAATACAACAGTCGTCACGTATGTGAAAAGGTTATTTGGATAGATTCATTCCTACGGCAATGCTATTGTATCCTGATTGATGATATGCTGTTCTAGGTATGCATGCAAGAAGCCGACTTCGACATGTCTGTAACTTCAGACTTCATGAAGTGTTTCGACCAAAGCATTACTTCCTTCGACTTAAATATTTGGCCAAAAGTTTTGAGGTTAGTTCTGCTTTTCTTCTGGTCACATTTGGATCAGCTCATTGAATTCTTAGCGATGTTTTCAGAGCCAGGGGTTATGGCCATTATCCTGGTCAACGTGCATTATTGTTTGATTATACAAAACTTTCCAAGAACAATTGAGTTTTCAGAGCATACGATCAGGTGCAAGTGAAAGTGGAGCCTCTGACCCTCATCGTGCCACAGTTCGAAGTTCCACTCCCCCCATTGGAGCCTGCAGTAAGTTTAAAGTTTGAAAGCTTCCTGGCGAACTGCAATTCCCCGAAGATCACTGAAAAGAACGGGAATGAGAGATTCTCGATTGTGTGAAACTTCGCGACCCTTTTTCTTACTCAAAAATTATTATTGTGTCCCAAAATATATGAATTTTGGTCAATTTATTCGACACATTAGTATAATAATTGAAACGGAATATTCGGAATAATGCCTTTACTCAGCAATACCGTCCCTGCAAACGGACGTGGAAGACGCAGGGAATTCACTCATCGACCGCACTACCGAATTTAGGACGGCTATAGATCTTTTCAACCTGTTTAGTCCAGGCTTCACATACATTTACCCAGAATTGACAAGGTCGGATGGATGAACAGCCAAGTGATGCCCGAAATTTCGAGCTAACTCTTTGGTGCCTTCCGATGATAAGGTGGGACATTATCGGAGGCGACGAAAGCTTGCATAAAACGTTTGAGACCTGCAGTCATTCGCAGAAAGCCAATCATACCGAGACGATTCTTTCTGAAAAGATCTGATTCCGGTAAGTCAGTTTGGTAACCGGGTCATGACGGACCCCTGGCTTTTGATTCACTGGTGTTTAAAATCCTGCCTAGATTTTCGAAATCTGCTCTTCATCATGAAGGGCGAGCTCGTTCACAGGACATCCAAAATCCTCTTGTCCAACAGAATGAGTGTAATACTCAGAGCTGGTAGCAAAATAAAGAGCATGCTGTCCATCGCAGTTGCGATTCACTTTGAGCCTGTGTGGTATAATAGATTGATCAGAATATAACGAATGATGTCCAAGGCGAATTTACTGAGCCACCGCTGCTCAGCAAAAGAAAAAGGCAAAGTATATCAACTTACGGTTTTTACAACAATAACTTTCTTTTACTGCCGCTTGTTTCACAGTTCTTTGCCCTAAACTTTCACTTTACATCATCTGAAAACGATAGAATGAGGTTTTTACTTAAAACTCCTAATACCCTAAACATCCTCACTTTGGTTTTTTTAATACTAAGTTATTGGTTCACTGTTATGCTGGTATCTTTTTATGTAGGTGTTCCCGCCAAATTTCCGAGAGCTACCTCCTCCAAAGCTGGAGCTCTTCGATCTCGACGAAATGTTCAGCAGCCAAGAAGTTCGCCTAGCTCAATTAACAAATAAATGTAACGTTCTTCTTATGTGTAACAATAGCCTCAGAACTACTAATTTTAGTACTTCGAGTGCCATTCTCAACATGAGTATCTCAAGCAAATCTTACAGGTGAAGAAAAAGATCTGGAGTTCTATATACTCGAGGCTGGTGAAGTTCTTGGAGTAAATTCAAGCTTGCCGATCAACGAACGGAACCCAAAAAGGATCCTGGAGCATGTACTCACACAATTGTTTGAATTCAAAAAACTGGGACAGGTATCTACGCGAATACATCTTGTTGGTCTCAAGCTGTTTTGAGAATGCCCACGACTTCATTTCATTGCAGGACGGAGATGTAGTTGACGCCATACTGTATGATGTCCAAGCAGGGGACGACATCGAGCCTGTGGAAGAAATCTTTTCCGATATTGAAGACTATGACGACCTCCAATAAAGATTCTGATATTCTTACAAGTAAAGAGTACTAAATGTTGTGAATACTGTAAACATTGATCGTTCAATACCAGTTCCCGTGCCTGGACAAGCGTCATTTCACTATTCTTCACAACTTCGTGACTTCCTATTCCCTCTTAAGAATATTCACTCGCTTTCTACGGAGAATTCTTTGTTACCGCCTGCACAACAGTGCTATTGTGCTTCTCCGGTTTGTGGAGTGAACAGCTGTGCCGTTAAGACACCAGTAATGGTCGTTTAAGGCAAGTTCGGCTGCATGCGATTTCGGCCTCAATTCAGCAGCAGTGACCACGTACCATTGAGTGCATCTGAGAGTTGTGAAGGCATCAAACGTTATAATTGATACCACCGATGGCGCCAAATAGAATTTTGAGTCTTTTGTCCTGTCGTGTGCATCTTCCCAGGTTGAAAGAAGAGCTGAACGGTATGGTGTGCGATATGACAACAAAGCAGAGAAAGGAACCAACTTATTCACAAATGACGATACCTACTGCTTGTTCGCGAAGCTCGGGAAAAAAGAAAAATCTCGTCAAAGGGAATAATGTTTCATCCTACCATCGCATCATAGATCCCTTCACTGACGGTTCTTTCTCCGAATTGTCAATAGCAGGTGGGTGACAAGGCCCATGTGGTGGAAAGGGGAGTAAGTCGTGGACCAAAAATCACCAGTACTCGCCTTGAGACATTGGCGGGTTTACTGGATGGGCTATCTCTTTCTACTGTGCTGGATCGACTTATACTTCTGTATCCTGCAGGTCTATCCATGCATACGTGTGTGGAGAGTCTGCGAGCAAAGTTAGTATTCTGCCTACTCAGCTAAGAGCTTGCATTCGAGTAATTAGGGGAGTGCTTGAGAGGCGATTCGGATTAGCCTTTAATAAAAACTTTTTCTTATCTACTCTGACATGGGCTGGGTAACTTTCCACAGTCAGGTCAGCCCCACTGTATTCTTTTTTTAATGTGTGGATAGAGAGCTGTGAAGCTCACTGAACGAAGCACCAAAATCATCACTGATTGGATCACTTCAGTTTCCTTGCAAGCTCGCGGGGAGATTCCGTTACGGACAACGAAGAATGAAGATTCCAACGGGCTCGATGGACAATTTAACGAAAATGCTGGGGAAGAAGGGGGTCAACAAATTGTCAAGAGAAGCATCACTTCGAAGATTCCTGAGCTTATATGCTAGCACGGAACCGAACATACAGAGAGGAACTGAAATAGAAAGGCTACAATTCTGGCTTGAGCCGCTGAGACTACAAAGAGCATTTGCAATGCCCGCCGGAGTTCCGGCTATTGCTCGAGCAAGATGACCTCCTTTCATCGTTTTATTGGAACAGTTGCTGCGTCCTGAAAAGCAGTGAAAACTCTATCCATGCCTCAAACACGGATGTTTCTGACCACGGCCGCGTCTACCTGTATACCAATCGTCTTGGGCAGATGAACACGTCGTTCTTTCAGCTTTCCTATCGGAAATTTGACATGCGGTCACGTCATTAAGAATTGTAGAGCCATCGATCTTGATAAGTAGATCAGAAGATCTACAGAGCCTTCCACCAGTTATCGTCGGAACTCCAGTCTCTGCCTTTTACGCGACACCGGTCGGAATGCAAAGAGGTCACGCTGAGAGAGACTATCAGTACTCGACTGCTGTATGGGAAGGGACACCCAGACGATGTTTACAAGTATCGCCCAATCTGAATGCTGCCTGTAATCTGTAAACTTTTCACGAGTCATTCTTTCAGTGCCGCCCCCAGATTAGCATGCGTTACTCAGAATAGGAAGACATGGAAGTGAAAGTCGAATTGCGCTACTTACATCTCCTCGGCCTTGCAGACGATATAGTGCTCATAAATACGAATATTGAAGGCTTGCTGGCCGAATTCGACAACATGTGAAAAGATCGGCTTACAACTGTTCTCATCGAAGCGTTGGTAATGAGGAAAGAATTGGTAAATGATACTCCTTACACGCTAACGGAATGGATATCTCTGAATGCTCTGGCTTCATGTAAAGATATGATAGTAATTATATGATATGTAAAAATCACGAATCGACTTCTGTCGTGACAGAAACCATACTCTGCAACTATTGCGGAACTGGTACCAGCTCAAGGAAATGGTATCAGCATAAGGAGCAAGATGATAGGCCGAGTGATGACGAAGCCTTGTCACAACCCCATCACTCGGCCTATCATCTTGCCACGTCAATTCCCTGAAGTAGAGTTATTGGTGTGCGGGTTACCCTCAGCCCTCACCCGTGATAGACGACTCCACTTATTCGACACATTTATCCTAATTAACAACATCATAACAACGGTAGTACATCATAATAACAGTAACGAATATAATACTGGCGATGCAGCACAGAGATCGGCGGCGGGAGTCGAAGCAGGAAGAAGCAGCCGTCCCGTGGCCGGTCGTATCCTCGAATACCGCTCCTCGATGCACTTCTCCTCTCGTTTGTAGCCGCTCGTAATCCATATCTATAACTCTTGCAAACTCTTATACCTCACTTCATTACAGAAACGTCCTTGGACGTGGATTCTAGTGCATAATAGAGAAGATGGGAAGCTAAGCGGGAATTGTTGTGTCTCACCTGGTCCGTGAGTGTTTTACGCGAAGATATCTGCAAGGTGGGATGCGGCGATGATCGTGCAATGCTCGTGTGCTCATTGGATCAGAGTGCCCCAGTTGTGTTGGCCATAATGACTAGATAAAAACATCGGCTAGAATAAAAAGACCATGTCGACAACGTGTGAAAGCGACGTTTGCCCTTTTCTTCCGTCTAAGAATTTCCCTGACGAACGGTCAACCATTGTGCGAATCGTTAATATTACTACGGTGTCCATTTCTCTCCCTTGTATGGAGTCAACCGTGGAAAGATGTACGCTGAATCTCGCTGCCGTGTTCTCCATTAAACGTTGCTGGTCCTTATGAGAGGTGATCGCTCCGATCGACGTGACTGGTATATTTTTAGCTACCAAACCGCAAATCAGCTCCTCGCAGCACTGCGTCTCCTGTTATTTGGCATGAGATTGTGATGGTGATAGCCTCGACCGGCCCGGACAATAACGACTATTAGAGGTGACTTAGAAATCGATAACCGGAGATGGCTCGTAAGCATCTGTCGCCGTCGTGCTATGGTGCCGCTAACAAGGTCTCCGTCGTATAAGAGAATGTTTGGTCGTGCATTAAAGGCACCGTTCACAAAAAAGTTAGGGTACCCTTTTCTGACGGGAATTGATAGAACTACTCTAGAATAAAGCGATAACAACGAAAAAAGCGCAAAAAACGATGAACAAAAAGAATTACAAAGGGTTAAAAAAAGAGCTGGAAAGGGGGTTGGACGAGTTTCACATTGAAATAACGGCGGTTAGGGGGTGTTCGGGCAAATTGCCAGAGACGGCAAATTGGCAAATTGCCAGAGACGCAATGTGTTGTCTGCAATAGCAGACAACACACCCGAACAGCTGATCGGATTTCTCCCTGCTATTATTCTGCTGAACAGGTACTATTCTTATCTGAACTGTTGCGATTCTTCTAATTCACACTCATTCTCGCTGACGTCGAGATTGGGGGAGTGAGAGCGTCCCTTCTATTATACAACCCATGGGGGCCGCTGAGTATTAATAAGGTATAAGACTCAATAACTTTTTAATCGTGAACGGTGCCTTTAAGCGCAGGCTGTGCTCTCCATGTAGTCACGAGCTGAACCAAGTTTCCTTCGCCATTAGCAGTTCCATGATGCCTTTGACGCCTGCTCGCGAAGATCGGAGCAACGGACGCAGGATTCATCTGATTGACTTCTCCAGTAGATGTGCTTGGCCAGAAGAATCGTCTCAGCACAGCGACGAGAGTTGAGCTCCGGCCTCCGCGACGCTTCGTCTCCTATAATCACTTCACTCTTTGACAATACATCCGAGAGAAGTCTTCCTGTTCTGGTCGTGTTGAGCAGCGACGCCGTGGTTATACACATAATGGAAGCGCACCCGTAACATGACTTCAACCGCGTCTTCAGTGGCTTTGGAGTTCTGATCCTCTGCGATACGGAACTCTTCTTTTTCTTCATCTGTGAGATTGGTGGTGGTGCCTGGTCTAATCAGACGCTCTACAAGCTCGCGGCCTCGGCTATATGATTTTAATCGTCGATTTTCAGTGAATGAGTCAGCGTAGCTGGCCAGATGGCCCTAGAGTATATGGTGCAGGTCCACGGCTGTGCTTGGTGCTCCTCCCTCCACTGCGGAGTCGGATAGAAATCGTAGTACGTGCAGGTGGTTGTAGTTCCAATGCAGCAAAGTATCTGTAAATTGTGTTACATGGTGGCTGTGACGATCACATGTTGACCAATGGAAGCTAGACGCGCCGCGATAAGTGCCCCGACAAGCGGTATACTCCTGAATGCAACTCAATCTCTATGGTGTTTTGTGATGGATGAAAACGAACCAACGCAACTATCGTGAGCACCAACGTGGAAGATTCGATAATCCAGGTGGCTAACGTGACTGGAGCGTGACCAAACTGTCTCTGCGGTGAGAGAAGCGAGATTAAGTCGAGTCGAGATGTTGTTAATGCAGTTAGGCTAGGGGCGAATGCTGTCACTTCGTGTGTTGTCTTGTCGTCCATGCCAAAGTTCTGTGCCGAAAGCGCGGCGCTGGCTGCTACGAATAGATTTCCCATAGGACGTCTTTATCGCGACGTTCACGATCAAAAAATGTTAGATCTCCGACTGTAGGTGATCTGGCGGGATTGGGAGTTTGAACTTTGGTCTTTGGTCTGCAGGTGTAAAAAGGCCCCCATGAATCAATAGTTTCTTCTTCATTCTTCTCGAACCCTCGCCCACGCCTCGAAGTCCTGAACTTATTTTGTGCTGCCAGTTAATGTATTCGTTGATGTTATTACTGCATAAATTATATACTACTACTGGACCACCACATTTGGAAAAGAAGTAATACGGCTCTCCACAGTCTATCTGGAGAAAACATATATATTGATATCGGGATATACATCCTTTTTATGGTGCATCTGTCAAAAGGACCAGGAAACCAGCGAGGAGGTACCGAGTTTTCATTTGAACGCTTAGAACTTTTGAGTATCATTTTGAAAACTCACGCAGAATTCACGCCATTAGAACACGCTTTTTTAAATTGAGTTTTCAATTTTCTTTGATTGGAATTTTCTCATTCATTCGGTTTTTTTATTTTTTCGTCTTTGTTTCGACAAAAATCTATCGATAAAAGAATCAAACACGAAAAGTGACCATGTCAGGTCCAATAGCGCTAAAAACACGGAAATCCCTCCTCACTCGGTATTGCAACAATCTGGTGGGGCTGATCAATAGATATAGCAACGAACGCGATAATCGATCCCTGCGCGACGCCCCGCCACAGGGGAAGGAAATAGCGGAGTACGTGGCAGAACTGAAAGGATCAGTTCGATTGGTATTAGATCAAATCGATTTACTGGTTGAGGCGCTAGATGGCCTTGAGGAACTCCTTACCGCAGGACAGCAAACACAGGCAGAGGAATATATAGAGAAGGCACACAACGCAGTCGATACCGCAGAAAAGCTCGCATTGCAACTTGAGGCCAAACGCATGGGAGCCTTAGATACTGCAGCAGCATTGGAGTCAGATGCACCTCCAATGCGGACAAGGAGTCCCTACCAACTAGAAGCAATCGCACCCAAGCTACCACCAGTCCCAATACCGATATTCGAGGGTAAAATATGGGACTTCTCAAATTTTTGGACACTATTTGAGGCCAATGTGGATTCTCAGCACTCATTAGGTGGGTTGCAAAAATTCAACAACCTACTATCGGCACTACGTGGTGAGGCACGTCAACTGATCAAGCGATACCCATTCACAGAAGAGAATTATGCGCTCGCAGTAGACCTTCTAGAGAAGAAGTACGGTAGCCCGTCCCAGCTAATCGCCGCTCTACAACGCCGTCTAGAGGAGACGGTAGCAGAAGGTGTAACAATACAGGCTCAGAGGAAGCTTTTGGAAACGATAATTCCGCTTGTTACACAACTTCAAAAGTTAGGGGTTGTATTAGATGGATCATACAACGCCCAGAAGGTGCTATCCAAGTTCGCAGTCCGCATACAGCGAAAGGTACTGGAACAGTTGGTGACACCAGGCATGGAGGAAAGCCAGTGGAAAATGGCAATCATGGTAGAGGCGGTAGACGCTCAGATCAGCACGGAAGAGCGCATAAATGAAATGGTCAATAAACGAGGGATCGCTGGGGACAGCAAAGAACCAGGTTGGAAGAGGACCTCCACAGCCTCCGCAACACACAAGGCGTGCATGTTCTGCGAATCTTCAGAACATGGATCAGTCGAATGTCCCAACTATAGAACCACTGCCGAAAGACGCAACTTCCTTTTGGAAAGGAATATATGCCTCAACTGTGGACGAGAGGGGCACTGGGTGAAGGACTGCAGAAGGGAAGGATGCAGGTCCTGTGGTGGAAAAAAGCACAGCCAAGTTCTGTGTCCCCGGAGAATGGGAAGACATACAAAACAGCAGGAAATTCCACCACCCAGCAAAAAGCCGACACCTACTCAGAAACCAAGCGCGCAGCAAAGAACAGGCAATGCTACGGCGCGCGATCACACAAGGGACACAAGAGTGCACCCCATAACTACATCGACAAAAGAGGACTTTGTACAAAGTTCCATTCCACAGCTGGCTTCAGATACAGACACATCAAGCGCATACAGCACCCATACAGGAGAACATACTGAGAATGAGAGCGTGCTTCTCCTAACAGGAGTAGGCAAGGTGTGGAACGCGATAAAAGAAGAGTGGCAATCGGTCGAAATCCTATTTGATACAGGAGCAGACCAGTCCTTCATCAACCAGGCCCTTGCGCAGGAGTTGGGCCTCGCATCCGACGAGACTAAGGACTTCAACATTTATACCTTCGGTTCCACAGTACCTACAAAGACGAGATGTGGGGTCGTCCGAGCAGAACTCAAGGACAACTACGGAAGGAAACATACCCTGCACTTGCACACAATACCAATATTGACCGGACGAGGCACGGAAACGCATCTCACTGCAAAAGATGTGAGCTTCATCACAAGCAAAAGGCTAAAGCTTTCAAAGCGAGGCACACGCAGGAATTCCAGCCCGCAAATTCTCCTTGGGCTGCGACCAACTTTGGGGCTTATTGAGTGACCCTTCCCCTCAATATACGCTACCGTCAGGGCTACAGCTCATCCCCTCAAAACTGGGATATTTAATTATTGGGAAGCAACGGTTGCCCACCATTTCCAAGCACAGGATTTGGGCTACACCCAGTGTGGTATCAATGATTCAAACCATCACAGGAGAAGAAGATGATCTCCTCAGATGGGATAAATACTGGGCCATGGACACGGCAGGTGTATGTGAATACACCGGCACAATCGACGCCGAAAGGTCGGCAATTAACGAAGAACTGCTTTCGTTTTTCAACAAGACCATTGAAAGGAGAAGCGATGGCCACTATGTACGCCTGCCATACAAACAAAACCATCCCCCGCTTCCTTCCAATAAAACGATCGCGCTGAAGAGACTCAGTAGCGTATTGAACACGCTGAGGTCCAACACAAAACTTTTGGAGGATTACCACATCACTTTCAAATCCCAGGAAATTGAGGGCATCATTGGAAAAGTACCGGAACCTCACAAGAGAAACGGATAGGTAGTCCATTATATCCCACACCAACCGGTCGTCACGCCCCACAAGGAATCTACCAAGTTACGCAAAGTTTTCGACGCTTCCTCACACTTCAGAAATTGCCCTGCTTTGAACGACGTCTTACATCAGGGTCCCCTTACCTTACCTGAACTCTACGCTATGCTATTACGCTTTCGAATTCCGAAGTTCGTCGTCACATCAGACGTAGAGAAAGCGTTCCTTCAGGTTCGTTTACACGAACTCGATCGCGACGTGACCCGTTTCTTGTGGGTACGCGACTTTGAAAAGGACCCCGAAGAGGAAAATCTGATTACCTATCGCTTCACCAGGGTTACGTTCGGCCTTAACGTATCACCCCTTCTCCTTGGAGCAACAGTCCACTTCCACCTCCGCAACGCAGTGAGCGACAAAAGGCTGGAGAAAGAGATAAGGGAGAACCTCTACGTCGACAATCTCATCCTAGCAGCGAAAACCCCAGAGGAAGCGATACAAAAATCTAGATGTACCCGAGAAATTTTTGCAGAAATGGGCATGAATCTGCGAGAGTTTCTCTCCAACGATAGAGTCGTGAACGAAGGACTCGCGCGAGAGTCGCAAGCGAGCACAACGCAGCAAAGGTTTTGGGAATACCGTGGGATAGCAGAAACGACGAGCTATCAATCCGATGCAATCTCCCACCTACGCCACACCTAACCAAAAGGATCGTAGCAAGAGTAATTGCTTCAGTGTATGACCCCTCTGGGTGGCTGGTCCCACTTCTCACCCAAGCAAAAAGATTCCAACAGGACTTGTGGAAGCACAAGTATGGCTGGGACACACCATTACCTGAAGTCCTGCAGAAGCGCTACGCTTTGTGAAAATGCACATGGATTTGAGCGCACTTTCTGTAGACGCTTCGTGAACAATCCAGAATGCAGCAGTTTAGCAGTCTTTTCTGACGCTAGCTCCATCGCTATGTCGGCATGCGCTTATATCTTCAGTGCTGAGCAGTCCACATTGATTATGGCAAAATGCAAACTACCCTCAATAAAAAGTAACCCAACCATACCCAAAATGGAAATGAACGCATTAGCGATAGCATTACGCCTAGCACTCTCAGTATTCCAAGCGCTTAAGGAACGCATTCCCCAGGGTTTGAGAAGCGCCTACATCTTGTCCGATTCGCAAATGGCGTTAAGCTGGCTAGCCTCAAACCCAGCCGCATCAAACCTAGGAATGCTCGTTAATAACCGCTTGAAAGAAATACGACGCATTGTAGAGGCCTTCAACAGCGAAGGGGTTGAAGTGCATTTCAAATTCGTACCGACAAATCAAAATCCAGCTGATGCTGGTACTCGTGGTCTCACAAAAACGCAGTTGGACCATGCTTTCTGGTGGGAAGGTCCCAACTTCTTATGCGACCCTATAGGCACGTGGTCCGCTCCTTCTTATGCACTTAACATGGACAACACGCAAGAGCACGGCCGGGCGTCAGTACTCATAAACGCGGTAGGATTAGAGAAAATGCAAGAGACGGTGAAGCAAGTAATTGACCTGTCTCGCTTCAGTTCATTGACCAAAGCATAAAGAGTCATGACGCTTGTGATGGTGTTTGTTAAAAAATTAGTGGAACGCTTATCCCAGGCACGGAAAGAAGCAATACAGGGAAACATTCCGGAACTTAGGCACACCCCCATCTACCCTCAGGCTATAGGAGGTTACGCCTTGGCTGCGTCTCGAAGAGCCATTATACGCATATACGCAACCAACAGGTCCTCCACCTCACGGACGACTACCGGAAATCCATAGAAAATAAATTGCGCCTTTACAAAGATGAAGACCACCTCTGGCGGTCAAAAGGTCGCATCGGAAACGCCATTCTGAACGTAGACGCCAAAAGCCCTATTTTTGTATTCCCCAAAACTCCACTGGCCGATCTTATTGTAAAGGAAGCTCACGGGATCTACCATCAAGGAATCGAACACACCATGGCGACAATATGCTCACAGTATTGGATACCAAAACTGAGGCAACAAGTACGCCACCTAGTAAAACACTGCGTGAAATGTCGCAGATTCAACGGGCTACCCTACGCTTACCCAGAAGCAAAGGACTTGCCAAGTCGCCGCGTAGTACGCAACCACGCATTTCAACATATTGGTCTCGATTTTTTCGACCTCCCTGTTGTTAAGGAAAACGAGAAGGAGTGCAAGACCTATGGGTGCATTTTTACGTGCGCGGTGACGCGACTGATACACCTAGAGCTGGTGCGAAGCATGTCAATAGGAGATTTCCTGAACGCTCTGCGGAGATTTGTAGCTCGCAGAGGGGTACCATCTACCATCACAAGTGACAATGCGCCTACTTTCCTCCTTGCTGCAGGAATTCTATCCCCCTCAGTAAGCTCATCGCAGTTCAATCCAAACATCGACCAAGTAAAGGCACAACACGAGATCGAATGGAAGAACATTACGCCCTACGCACCTTGGCAAGGGGGGTTTTGCGAACGCCTGGTCAAGTCTATTAAACACGCACTTTACAAATCGCTCAAGGGAAAGCCCCATCCTCAGTAGATGACCTCAAGACAACTTTGACGGAAATCGAGGCCTGCCTAAACTCCGGGCCGCTGACCTATCAAGGTTCGGAACAGGACAATCTGGACTCCATTCGCCCTATTGATTTCCTCCAGAAAGACACTGTGCTGACATTTCCCTACGAAATCCAAAGTCAAACGACGGATCCAGATTACCTTACACCGTCGGAAAGTCGTGCTCTGGCAACGAAAATGGAAGCAGAGAAAGCATTGGCCTCATCCTGCCGGATCACGGACCAATTTTGGAATGTGTGGCAGAAGAACTACTTAACCAGTTTGCGGGAGACCCACAAACAACATACTTCCTCCAAGCGTCATCACGATTGTACCCAAAAGTTGGAGAGGTTGTTCTCGTAAGCGATCCTATTTTCCCAAGGAATGACTGGAAGCTTGCGCGAATAACACGAACCATCGCGGGGTCCGACGGTCAAATCCGGGAAGTGGAATTGGTTACGGGCACGAGACGGTCTATGAAACGGCCTATCAACCTCATCGTGCCGCTGGAGCTCAAGGACGACAAAGAAGCATCATCGAGTGAAGACGGGGGTTGTTCAGATTTCCCAGTCCAAGACTAACCTACGACACAGGGACCCTACAATCTACGGCCACGCGCGCAATTACGCAGCACCCATCATGTTAAGACTACCAACCCCACACAGAAAACGCGTATCGGGTCTAGAAAGTGGTTCCTTTTCTGCATCATGCTTCTTTCGTTTTTTCAAGGGTCGAACGGGAATCCACACACGGACGCTACGATCTGCGCCAAAATGTTACGAGTTATTACGCAAACCGTAAACATCCCAAACAGTCTACGCTCATTCACCCTCTATCATAGCGCAACCATACACGTCTCGATCACCATCGTTCATAACAAAGTATGGTTATAAGGCCTTTTTCGAATCAGGTAGTCATGAACGCTTATTCAGAACAAGGACCTCGCAAACTAGGGGGACCCCCTTCAACAATATCAAGCACAGGTGCCCCTTGAGATTCGTACTGAGACCCAAGCGGTAGACGTCTACGATAATCAAAGATTTTTCCCAGAGCTGTTACGGTTTGGCCACCTTTGACCTTTTTCTGCGATACACAAAGCTCGTGAAAGCAAAATCGAGTTCATGACCACCCTCCTTGTTTTGGTCTTCGAAAAAGTATCGAGAAGTAACAATACGCTCACAATTCGTTTTGAAGTTCACGCTCAAAAATAACATCCAAAGAACGCTCCGAAAACTTCATGACATAGAAAAGTCAATTGGTAAACAAAAATGTACAGCTAACAATACGCATTCGGTTTACACCAACACTACTCCTTCAGATTATGGACTTGTACGAGGAAGTTCAACGCTTACGCCGGGTCAAAGAGGCCATTCTGCCGCTGCCCGACCCATACACGCTGTACAACAAGCTGATACACAAAAGCATGCAACTACGTGTAGCGACTCGCTTTATGAGTGATCTATTTTGTCGTATTCAGGACTTGAGGAAATCCAGAAAAGACCCGAAAGAACGCTGGGAGCAATTAAAGTTGTTAGAAACCCTGAGGGAAAAGACATGGGCTGAATTTATGCTTTTACGTACAGAGCTCCGCACTCTATTCGCCGTTGTGCCATTGATAATCGCCTTAGGGATGATATCTGAAGACGACTGGAACA